GGAGTACGGTGCGTCGAAGTCGAAACCTTCGTTCATCTCTAGCGTCGCCTCCTCGTCGATCATGCTCTGCAGCTGGGCCAACAGCACAGTCCTCTTGCCGAGGTTGGGATTGGAGCAGGGTTCTGGAAGTTCGTAAGGATTCGTCGGTTGCGGCATGGCCGTCGACATCTTATCTTGACCGTTGTACAGGAGGAGCAATTCCCCGCGGTTGAACTCGAGCCGTCTGTCGAACAACTCGTGAAACGTCGTCCCGTCCCTGACGCCGACGTTCGGTTTCTGAGCGCGGGTCGACACGGGTCGGTTGGGCTTTAGCGCGTCACCGACGGAAAAGTCGACGTTGAGTCGGCGTCCGCCACGACGCTCCACCACGTCAACCCTCGTCTCCGGCAACACACCCACGTTCCATCGTCTCGTGTAAGGTCGGAATCGAGCAGACATCTTCCGAGACACGTCTTAACTTTAGAGGGGAATTTGGGGTAAAACATAAATGTGTTATTTATGTACCAGGAACAGGCATGAGTCACGAACGTCCTCGAACCGGCAGGAAGATGTCGCTTTTGGTGAATCACTTGAAAGCGAGGAACGACCTCGCGTACGTCGGCGAACGTACGAATCCGCGTTGCAGAGTTCGAGACGACGAAGGTGTGGATAATGGCGACGTTCGACAGGCGGAAGCCGAACGGGGTCGTCGATCTCTACGACGCGGCCGATTCAAGACTGGTGCGGGCTCTCATCAAGTTCATGAACGAGGATAGAGATCGAGACTTCGTGGACGCGCTCTCTTACGACGAGCGCGTTGCCTGCTTGGACATGGCCGAGCGGACGGGTTGCAAGGATGCGATCTGCGTGTTCGTATCGGCAGTGTACGAACTATCAGCGAACGATCTGCTCAGATCGAGAAGAACCGCAGCACGCATCTGTTCCCCGACACTGATGAATGCCGTCGATTCGGCCGTGTGCAGGACGTTCGGCAAGCTGCTGCTTCATCAGCAGGAGTTACGATGGCACGAGCTGGCCACGTGGCTCGATACGTCCAGACACGACGATCCGGTGGAAGGTCCGAAGATCGAAAACGTTTACTACGCGTCTGAGGGATACCTGCTGCATCTGGTCCGGAAGTGGCTGACCTCCACTCCTGGCGAAAGCAAGTGGGACAAGCACGCGCTGGTCGGTCTGATTCGACCGAGGTTGCTGAACGATCCGGACGTGCTGCTGAGCGTCCACCGCAAGCTCTTTCATCTTTCGTCCATCGACCAGCTCTTCAATGACGCGACCGAATACGCCAAGTCCGTCTTCCGGCACCACTCGATGAACGAGGACGACGCGCTCGGCGTCCGTCACAACGTTCCGCAGACAGCGACCTTCGGCACTTCTCCTGCGTGCCTTCCGCCGAAACCTTCCATTCGTCCATTCGTGCACGTCCAGAACTCCTCCATGATCGCTTCTTTTTACCGAACGGCAGTCGCAAGGAACCTCGCGTACATGGTTTGTCCGGACGGGAGCCTCGAATACGGTTGCTCGATGCGCCTGCTCCGCTACAATCCGATCAACGGCACGTTCGTCAGATTGTCAGATTCGCTGGTGCCGCGAACGAACGAGTCGGTGTCTTTGTGCCGGGTCGACGAACACGTCCTACTGCTGAGCGGCGGGGGCTCTAAGGAACTGGAAACGTACGATCTGTCGAACGAGCGAAACGGCGGCGGCGTCTGGAAGGTGGACGCGAACTTCGAGGAGGTCGGAGTCGATTCCTACGTCGCGCACGCCGCCTGCCAGCACTACTCCGACCTGTGTCTGTGGTACGTCGACGGACACGGAGATCACCTTCTGATCGTGATGAGACGTGCGAGCGGCGGATTAGCGGGTAGGAGGACGCACGGAGAATGGAATGTGATACTCAGACATCCGATCGCCGTTCCGGAGGAGCACAGGCAGAAGGACAGCGAGCGTCTAACTTTGCATTCTTTTCCTGAAAGCGATGCCGTCGTCGCCTTTCACGGCATTGTCGTCACGACAGTTCACGTTCCGTCTGACTACTTCAGCTCCACGTCGATCCCTTCGCACCCGACGCCTGGAGATTTGGTGTCCGAGACGAAGATCGCCGACGCCGATTTCGTGTACAGGATCGGTCTCAACGGGATAGTCGATAGGGTCGTCTTTTCACGATCGGAAACGTTCGGTGTCAAAATCAAAGTGGTGGACGACGACGACGACCCTCGACCACGGGTTCATCGTTACCGCCGTCCCGCTCCTCTTCCCGGAAGGCTGGGGGCCCGCTACGACGATGATGAACACGGTGCCTCGAAAGGTTACCTCGAAGAGATTTTCTCTTCTGCGAAGGAAGAACTCCGGAAGAGTTTAGAGCGAACGAACACGGAAGATGGAAGATCACTTTCTCTGCGAACGTCCACATGAAAAGACATGAAGAAGTTCCTGTTTTCAATCGTCCTCGGCTCCGACGATCAAGGATTCCTGTCCGACGATTTCTGCGGCGGAGCGCACGTGTTCGCATCGGACGACAGCGGCATCAAGGCAATCGTAAACTTTCGTAATGCATCAGCCTACTTTCACGGGTTGTTCGAGTTGCCGTTCGTGATGGCGTCTCTTCACCTCAACGTCGACGTGGACGATGCTCGGGCGTTCGTACTATTTGCAGAGTTTGCGAGAAATTTGGGATTCGACGGTTCTGTAACCGACGTCGTTCAACTCGACG